GTTGTTAACCCTCCAGAAGAGAAGCTAATTATTAACCTGCAACATATGCAGTGCGGTTTACCCTATCTGTCTAAATATCAAACATTTTGGTATATCATGGAACAGGTATTTTCCATCAGATATTGATATGTTGAACTTTAAGTACTTAGAGAATATGAAGGAAAAATAATTATATAAAAGTAGAAATAAGCATTTACATATTTCTACAAAGAAATTTAGAAACCTAATCATACAGAATTGTAAGTCCTTATACTAGGGAGACAATACGATATTTACGGATGTGGGTCTGGTTTATTTCACTAACAAGTATATCTTCAAGTGGCATCCACTTAAATATGAAGGCTTCAAGTTTATCATTCTTTATACCTGAGTAGTAGTATTCCATTATATAAAAGTACCACATCTTTTTCAACCATTCCACATGTGACGGGCATTGTAGTTTGTTTTCAAAAGCAAATTAGTATTTAACTAATGGAAAATAAGGAGCTTAGTCATCATATTTAAGTAGTGATGCCAGCTACCTGTGAGAGAATTTTATTTTTATTATTTTGCACCTGAAGAATCTAAAGTTATGATTTTAAGTCCCTATAACACAGGATTTATTGCTCAACTCTGTGGTGACGGGCTGCTCTGTACCTTGAGCTATGTGTTATTTTTCCTACAGTTTCTACTATGTTGATTTAGCTATGTTCCTGTAGCAGCCTCACATAGCTCAGGTTCATTTTCAGAAATTGTAATCCAATGCAAAACCTAAAGAAATAGAACATTTTCTAGTGAAGTCAGGGCTGCGCATCAGTAGTCCTCAAGCGTTTACTTCTGAATAAAGGAAAATACTTTTAAAAAGTTGTAATGAGTTGATGGAATAATGAAAATCTATATAACCTGAAGGAAGACTACTTTTTCTTTTTTTTTTTTTTTTGTCTGATTTTGAGACAGGGTCTCACTATGCACTTAAGGCTTGCCTTGATCTCACTTTACAGGCCAGACTGCTGTTGAATTTACCGTGATCCTCCTGCACCACCCTCCCAAGTGCTGGGGCTCTGGGTGTGTGCCACCACGCCCGGCCAAGAGAGACATTTCTAACTCACTAAGAAATAATGTATTAGCAGGAATAGTATAGTGAATGTGTATGTGTTCCCAACCACACTCACTTTATTCACTCATGAAACAGCAATCTTACTAGGTCAGGAATCAAGATAATCCATTATGAACATTTGTAACATCATTCTGAAGGCATTAGACAACTTCTATATGATCATAAAGAGGGTATTAAAATTAGTTACTTATCTAAGCCAAAGCTTAAGAGAGAAATAGGATCTGCATGAATTATATAATAATCTATGAAGTTTTTCCTCTCCAAATCTATCTAGAAAAGAAAGGAAAAAACAAAGGATCTTTAATCAAGTGTTTTAAATAAGAATCAAAAATTGAAAATCCCTATGGATCTTTATAAACATAAGAAGCCTTTTTTTCTTTAAGTGTTTTACTTTCATTTAAAATTAAATGTTTTATTATCTTTATTTGTTTAGTTTCATTTATGGATTTGTTACAGGGTCTCACTATGCAGTTTGGACTCGTAGTGATCCTCCTGTTTTCAGCCTCCCCAGCACTGGGATTACAGGCATACACCACCACCCCTGCTCAGTGCACCCAGTGGTGGGGCCAGCACCAGAGCAGCGTGTGGTACCAGGGATCAAACCTTGATCCCTGAGCTTGCCTAAGCAGGCATTATTATCTTTAACAAGCAATGCAATCAAATATATTTAGATACTGAAGGTATTATTATAAACAAGTACTGACTAAAAAGTCAGTATTTTTCCAGCCCATTCAAAACAATCATTAACCAAGTTCTTTATAGAGACATCTAGAGATTTGTTAGGTATATTTAAAACTAGCTTATCTTTTTAATTCTTTTTACATTAATGGTAGCCTACCATATACTGTGTTATTTTGGTTTTTTTACTTTGAAATATGTTATCACTATCAAATCAGCACATATAGATCTACAGCATTTTTAAACTTCAAAATACTAGATTGTGATGATAAACTGTCATTTTACCAGTTACATATTTAGGTTGCTTCCAGTCTTTTGCTTTTACAGACTGTGTCGAGAGTTTGGTGCAGGTGTCTTTTAGAATACATGCAAGTACATCTGAAAGCTAAATTCCTGAGTATGGAATGGCTAGGTCAGTAGTTAAGTCTGTGTCTAATTTTCCTGAGTTGCTCTCACAGAAGCTGACAGTTGTGCTAACTACAAGTAGTACTACCACTATGTAAGGATAGTTCCTTAAAACACAAGCAGAATGTTTTTAGGACTTTTTTTTGTGTCTGTGTGGAAAGTATTTCTGGGCTATACTTAAAATGGCCTTCTTCACTTTGAGTTTTTAAAACAATCTCTTCTAGCTTTTCATATTTTATAATTTCATTTTCATATCTAAATCTTTGACACAACTGAGAACTGTTTTCGTACAGATAAGGCTATTGTAATTTTTTCTCAGCTGGTTACCAAGTATCATTACTGAATAATATATCATTCTCTTCACTAATGAGAAATGTCAGCTCTATGACAAGTTAGATTCCTGTATGAATTAAGCTGTTTTCCACATTTTTTTATATCTACTAGGTAGACTAGGTTGTCTAATGATGAAAACCTCAATATCTTAATGGCTTACAGCAACAAGAATTTTCCTTCCATTTGGTACACGTTCATCACGAACTGGCTGAGGACTTCGTTCCATATCTCTTTACCTTAGAACTTAGGATTTATAGGGCTGCCTTAATCATAAACTTTGCCAACTCTCCTGGCAAAGGAGAAGGAGGCTTGGAGAGTCTCATACCATCAATAAAATGCTAATGTTAATGTTACTCTAGCAAGAACTAACAGACATCAAGTCCCTTCACAATCCATTGTGAGGTGTTAGTCACAGTTCTTCATCCACAGTCATTAATGTCTACAGAAGTTGAAAATATTTGGCAAACAGCAACTAGGACCAGTGACCATATCTCTTAATCTGTCATTTCAGGTGTTCATAGCTTAGGTCTTTTGTGGAATATCTCTGACTATTCTTTTATTTACATCTTTCCTACTGAAAAGGAACTTGTATCTCTGCCCCTGCCCCTGCCCCTTGTTTCAGAAAAAGACAAACCCTATTTTTTAAAAAGTATATGTGTGGGGCTGGGGAGATGGCTCAGTAGAGTAAGCACTTGCCTGGCAAGCGCAAGGGCCTGAGTTCAATCTCCGGTTCTGCAAAAAAAAGGTATATGTGCATTAAACGTATAGATAGGAAAATTGACAAGTATATAATAGTCTTTAAAACCAAGAAAATGTATGTATGTTTTACTTATGTACTGCTTTTTTCTGACTTTTGTTGTTGTTTTGGTTTTTTGAGCGTCGTGCTATTTTGTCTAGGCTGCCCAGGCTGTTGTAGAACTCAGCAATCCTTCTTCAGCCTCTCAAGTGCTGCAGTTACAGGCTGGTGCACCAGCCTAACATTATGTATGTGTTTTGTGTTTTTTATGTTTTTATTTTGTATACTTACTTTGTATACATACTGTTTTTGTAAATCTTGGGATTTTAAAAAATTTACTATCATCTATAAATAATGATAGTTTTAATTCCTTCTTTACAATTAGGTCAGTACTCCTGAAAGATTAGAAAAGATACAAGCATGTCTCAAATCATGTATTTATTACCCAGTCAGGTTATTCAGGCCAGACAGTGGCGTATGCCTGTACTCCCAGCACTCTGGAGGCTGAGGTAGGTGGTTCACTGTGAATTCAAGGCCAGTCTGGACTATATAGTGAGGCAAGAGCTAACCTGAATTGCATAGTGAGACCCCATCTCAAAAAACAAAAAATAGAGCTGGGAGATAGCTCGGTGCTCTAAGCGCATGCCTGGCAAGTGCAGTGACTCAGGTTCAATCCCCAGCAGTGCATGCCATGCTAGCCCAGGAACCATGCGCACACTGTACTGACCACCAGAACCAGATCTGGTGGCACATGCCTATAATCCCAGTGCTGGGGAGCCTGAGATAGGAGGATCACTACGAGTTCAAGCTATGTAGCGAGACCCTGTTCCAAATAAATAAATTCAAAAATTTAAAAAACAAGTTATTCAAAAATTTTATAGTGAAGACTTGTTTTCCTCTCGTATTAATCCCAGTAAATAAGTAGACTGACACTAGAACAGCAATAAGTACTGTATATTCTAGTAACTGGGAACACCTACCAAATTTGTAAGAGTTCATTTGTTTGGTGCTTTGCACCTGTATAAGTTCTAGGACCTGATTGAGCCTTTAATACAGACTAAGTTCTGTGTGTAAGAGGATCAGTGGGCCATTCACCATATTTTAATGTTCAGATTTAAACATCTGCAGGTATAGTTAGTTAGCAGTGACACAAGTATCACTTTCTTGGTGTTTTATTTTCCTTTGTTGTGAGGTAAACATGTTGCTTTGTTGGGAAGAAAAATCAGCTTTTCTAAAATTAAGCACCTAGAGTTGATTTCATAGTGAAGCTTTGCGCAGTGGCAGTATCGTAGCCAATGAGGTTTATCCAAGGCGTGATTATTGCTAATTGAAAACATAGTGAGATGGGAACTGCTGTTGACCACCTATTTTCTTCAGTATCTGTGTAATTCCAACTGTGAAGTTCCACTCTCAAATATTTTCCTCCATTATAACTATCTTCCATTTTATCCTATTTCAGCATTACTGTTTTTACAATCTATACTCATAATAATTCTGCATTCGGTTAATCAAAACATTGAGAATCTTGATTTAATTGAGAAATCATGAATCAATGGAATCCAATAGTTAAATGCTGATAAACAGCTTCTTTGAAAAATTGTTGTGGTGCATTTATGCCTGGGATGGAGAGGCAAGAAAGGAATGAGCTGTCAAATTTGAATCCCCCTGAGTCATCAAAGTGAAGTCTTAACAAAGATCTGAGTTAAAATTGAAGATACTTTATCATGTTATGGCAAACACAAGCACCTCAGTCTTGATTTTAAAACTTTGATGATGCAAGCAGAGAGAAAAGGCAGTGCACAAAGTGAGAGAAAACAGGGGTGGCAGAAGAAAGGAAAAAAATTCCAAACTACAAAGGGATTAGATTGTCAGTTATGGGTCTAGGGAAAAAGAAAGACAAACTGAGTGTTAGAAGGAATTGGTTAGAATTTAGAAAACAAAAATATGTGATAAAAGACATTAAAGCTTGTAATAAAAGATAGAATCAAAGCTATCAAAGTATGTTATGTGCATATATGAATCTGCCAAAATGAAACCCATTAATTTGTATGACTGTTATACACTAATAAGAAGTGTGGGGGGGAAAAGGAATAAACTATTTTACGTTTATTATAGAAATGAAAAAAATAAACTGGTCGTTAAAATGAGGCTTCATGAAAAGATTCAAATTAAAATACAGGTGTGATAGACAAACAAGTTATAACAATTCCAGTTGACCTAAAGTTTTTTACTCCTCTAGCTTTCTTTAAATAATAGAGAGGATGGGGCTGGAGAGATGGCTCAGTGGTCTAAAGCACCTACTTGAAACAAGCTTGGCAAAGCACAGGGACCGCGGTTCGATCCCCAGCACCACATGCCAGCCAGCCCCGCCCCCTGGTGGGCTGAGCTGGCCACACACACAATAAATAAATGTAATAAATAAATATTTAAAAAAAAATGAGTAGTCTTACATGAATTTTTTAAAAATAAATAAATAAATAAATAAATAATAGAGAGGAATTGCAAAGAGGAGGAAGAAACAAATTTTAGTAATTGCTATAGAGAAAAATAGACTTTTGCTTAGAGATTGAGAGTTTGTGTAGTATTTGTCATCTAGATTTGACACTTAAAAACAGAACACTCAGATACCTACCAAAAGTGACTTTGAAAAAGGTAGGGCTTTTTTATTTTATTTTGAAATGGACTCTTAATTCACCCTGACCTAAAGAGCAAAGCAGGCTTTCTTTTTTTTTTTTTTTTTTTTTAATTATTTTCTTTGTGAGGCAGTCTTCCTATTTCATCCTTCCAAGTGCTGGAATTACAGAAATGTACCATTTTTTTGGGGGGGGGAGGGGGAAGGGTCTACAGGATGTTCAGGGTCTCACTACTAGATCGGACTCATAGTCATCCGCCTGTTTACAGCCTCCCAGGAGCTGAGATTACAGGTGTGGGCCACCACACAGTCTCAACTGCTGACTCAGCATGCCCCGGGGGTGGGGCCGGCACAGCAGGCCTGGGGATTGAACCCCTGGCCCTTGCACCTGCTTGCAGGCACTTTAATCCATAGAGCTATTTGGCCGGCCCTAATAAAATTTTTAGAATAGGGCCTGAATTAATAAAAAGATTTGAAAAAAGAAAATAAAAATTACTCCTAAAACACAATCCACCGTTAGCATTTTGATATGTTGGCTTTCAGGGTTTTTCTGCCAGCACGCAAACATGTACACACATATTTACAAAATTAATTTTATATTTTATATGCAGTGATATCCTTTTTCATTTTTCCTAGGTATCTTTTTATTTCTGACATTAAAATTTACTAAAGGGCTGGCGACATAGCTCAGTGGGCTAAAGCCCCTGCTTAGGCAAGTTTAAGCAAGTGCAGGGACATCCCTGACATCACATGCTGCACCAAGAATATTAACACCTTGTCATCATTATTTGTTTCAAATGAAGGGGCCGGGGAGATGGCTCAGCAGAATAAGCGCTTCCCTGGTAAGCACAAGGGCCTGAGTTCAATCCCCAGTTCCTCAAGAAAAAAAAAAAAAAAAAAAAAAATCCTCAAATGAAGTCAAGCATTAGAAAACTTTTTCCTTTGCAAATTACAGGTGGCACATACTAGCAATTCGATCCCTGGCACCACATGCTGCCCCCAAAGCAGGCTGAGCCAGCCACAGCGTCCGGGCGTAGTGGCATACACCTGTAACCCCGCACTGCAGAGGCTGAAAACAGGGGGATCACTGAGTCGAGCTGCCTAGTGAGACCCTATAACAGCCAAATACAATTTTAAAAAATTACTAAAAACATAAGTTTTCACTATCTCATAATATTGTAACACATATATCTACCTAATTATTTAATCATCTCTTTGAAATATCCAAGTTATTTTTATTGCCAGGGGAGATGGCTCAGTGGAATAAGTGCTGCCCTGGCAAGTGCAAGGGCCTGAGTTCAATCCCCGGTTCCGCCAAAAACAAACAAAAAATAAATATATATATATATATATATATATATATATATATATATAATCATTACAAATATTGCTGCTTCAAAGATTGGTTTAAGTTAAAGAGTTTGAAAAATCTTGAGACCAGAGAGATAGCGCAGCAGGCTAAAGCATCTGCTTAGGCAAGTTTAGGATTGAGGTTCAATCCCTGACATCACATGCTGCACCAGCCCCACCCCCAGGGTGGTCTGAGCCAGCTAGAGTCACTGCCTAGTGGAGCACACCTGTAATCCCAGCACTGGAGAGACTGAAAACAGGAGGATCACCGTGAGTCGGAGCTGCCTGGTGAGACCTTGCAACAACTAAATGCACAAAGAAAGAAAGCAAGAAAGAAAGAGGGAGGGAGGGAGGGAGGGAGGGAGGGAAGGAAGGAAGGAAGGAAGGAAGGAAGGAAGGAAGGAAGGAAGATCTTTAAAAACTTTTGTTTCTTCTTGAACCTTGAGATTGAACATTTGCATGTATATTGATTGCTGCTATTATTTCACTAAAATGGCTTTTAATGAAGGAATACAATTTGAAAAGTTTTTTATGTGGGAACCTCTGGTCTCTAGAATGATGCCAGATGTGTAATAAGCACTAAACTATTTGGTATGATGGATGGATGAATGAAGGAATGAATGAGTGGCAAGAATATTAACACTTTGTCATTGTTATTTGTTTCAAATGAAGTCAAGCATTAGAAAACTTTTTTCTTTGCAAGTAACAGGTGGCACATACCTATAATCCCAGCACTCAGGAGGCTGAGGCAGGAAGATCACAAGTGTCAGGCTAGCTTGTGCTACATAGCAACCCCTTGTATCAAAAATGCCAATAAAAGAAAAAAATAAATATACAATGCTGTTTTACTTCTTGATTTTTATGCCTAATTTTTTTCCATTCTTTTCTTCCCCTATAGTTCATCCATGAGCTCGGATTTCCCACACTACAACTTCAGAATGCCTAATATTGGATTCCAGAATCTGCCTCTCAACATATATATTGTGGTTTTTGGCACTGCCATATTTGTCTTCATTCTTAGTTTACTCTTCTGTTGCTACTTGATTAGGTAATCAGTTTTCATCTTACATTACTTCAGAATCTGTTAAATAAGCAAATTCTGCCCTCATTTAAAACAATTTATAAGTATAACAATGGGCAAACTTTCTAAGTTAATGCGGATTGACATTTTAATCTAATTAGTAGCACACCTTATTAAGACAGTCTTGAGTCCTGTTGTTGAGGTGTTTTACTCTGTAGGAAATTATCCTTATTAATTTTTCCGTCACATTAGCAGATATACTCATGTCATTGTCTGTCCCCAAGATTTAATCTACTTTCATAGGGATTTCAAAATTGCTTCTCAAGAAGGTGTTGCATTAAAGTCATTAGGGATGAAAAACACAGTGTCTAGACAAGATCCATGTCTTTAGAAAGCTTCTCTCAGGACTAAGCTTCTGTTTGTTGTCACACTAGTTAGGTTTTCAGATGATTAATTATCTGCATAAAATACTAAATATTCTACATGACAAACATTACATGTAGAGACAAGTAACAACAGGTGGTAGATTTGGACAGAAAAGATTCATGGCTGATTATCTCATAGTGATTTAAACATTTTTACTTTTTCAGTTTGTAAATAGGACCTAATTTTCAAAGCCAAAGTGAGGCTATAAGATATTTTATATGGTTTTCTTCAAGGAGCTTTTTTAGGTAAAAGAATAGAAAATTTAATTTTATTAAATATATATCTAACAGTTTTTAGTATTTGTACAGTATGTGATTATCATTAAAATAAATGTCATCTGATGTCTTTCAGCAAGTATTTGTTATTGCTAGTAGTGTTTTGAGATGTTCACATTGGCTAATGGTCAAATTTAAACAAAGTTAGTGTGTGCTTTCTGATATTCTGATGTTTACATTCTTCATAGAAAGTATTTTTTGAAAGTTCTCACAAAACATAATTATACGACATATCTCATAGATATACTAACTGCTTATAGTTTTTAGGTTTTGGTCAGTTGGTTGAATATGTAGGCTTAAACTCATAAAAAGTCAAGTGTAGAAATACAGAGATTATGTAATGGTGAAATAAAAAGGGTCCAGGGTAGAGTCCTAGAAATATACTGATATTTAAGAAACTATCAGGAATTGTGTACCAGAACACTGTGAAGTGGCCTTCCCCATTAGATGTGGGAAGGTCCTAACTTGCTGTCACTTTGGAGTTGAGGTGTTTTCTCCCCTTTAGTTCCTCTACTCTATAAACATTAGTAAAAAATAAACATTTTTACAGAAAAAAAAGAAAATATAGATGGGGGGGGCAGGGAGATAGCTCAGCGGCATAAGTACCTGCCTGGCAAGGATAAGGTCCCAAGTTCAATCTCTGGTTAAAAACAAAACAAAACAAAAGCCTGGAGTGCTGATAAGCATCTGCCTGGCAAGCTTAAGGTCCTGAGTTTGATCCCTGGTAAAAATAAATAAATAAATAAATAAAAATTGGGAAGTACCAAATCTAATGGCACATGCCTGTAATCCCAGCTTTCAGGAAGCTGAGGCAAGAGGATTGAATCAGCAGCTTAAAGCCAGCCTGGACTACATAGTAGACTCTGTCTCAAAACGAAACAAAAACAACAAAGTTTCTAGGAAAGGATAGCAGGAAATAGAAAGAAAATCATGACATAGGTATTCTACAAGTACCATTTCAATAGTGTCAGTTGTGTTAGCTGCTCCCAAAGAAGTTTGGTAAGATTTGAAAAGTTCCTATTGCATTTAACAATTAAGTTTGTATTCATAAACTTCATTAGAAAAAGTTGAGTAGCATGGAATAGAGGAACATACACAGGCACACTATTGTGAGAAAGTCTGACTAGAAGGTAAAAGTGGATACAAGAAATTTTGACCTCCTGGCCGGAGGTCTAACTGCCTGCCTGGCAAGTGCAAGGACCTGGGTTCAGCCTCCGCTGTGCCACTGACACTGGGTGTGGTGGCACAGACCTGTAATCCCAGCACTGGGGTTGCTGAGACAGGAGGCTCACTGCAAGTCTGAGCTTCATAGAGTCTGAGCTGTGTAGTGGGACCCTGTACCAAATAAATAAATAAGCAGCCAAACAAACAGACAGATTTAAAAAAGAAAAAAGTTTTACCTCCTTGAAGAACTTTAGCTAAGGAAGGATAAAGTTTAGGCAAAATCAGTTGTTGTAGAATCAAGGAAGTGTTCTGATGTTTGTATTTTAAGATAGATTGTTGTACATATTTTTAAACATAATAGAATGAGCCAGTTATGGAGGGGCTTTGAGGAAGAATAAATCATGAAGAGACACACCTAAGAGATATAGCAGTATTAGTGCTAGCTGGAACCTTTTCCTAAGACAGCAATGAGATTAACTATAAAAGAAAATCATTTGTGTGAGTCTGTGGGCCCAGGAGTGAGGAGGCTTGTGTGTCTGACAACCCTTATTCTTTCTCGATGGAATAGAATATTGACACTTAAATGATGGGAGGCTGTGGCAGGGAAAAACTTGAAGAGAATGGCAGGGGTTTGAAACAACCACTGCATGCAAATGGATTCAGGGCATAAACTGCCAGAATTAGCAACAGGGAAGTTGCAGCTGAGCATAGAGGCCACAGTTTTGTGGTCACCAAGAGCCAGATAATTTTATCATATTCTTCAGCACTGCTCTACACTGCTAATTACATTCTCTTAGATATTTTTGAAAACACTTACTTAATAATGCAAAATAAAATAGTGCAATCTAAAATATTAATAATTTGTATGACTTAAAGGAGTAACAGCAAGGTGACATCAATTTAATAGAGAATTTCCTAGGAGGGATGAATTTTTAGCCACAGATTGAAAAAAAAAAAAGTGGTGAGCACAATTGATTCCTTCTGTGCCTAGAAGTAGCAAATTCTACTTTAGGAGAATATGCAAATCAAGTTGAAAGATTCAAATAAGCAAAAGGAAGTTACAAATGAAGCTTCATCATATTGATTCTAATGGAGTACATCTTATTTCTTTACATGAAAATGTATTGTGTTCTTTTCATAAAACAAGCAGAAAAAAAAACAGAAAGAATAAGCATATAGATTGTATGAATTACATGATTGATAAATTTGACCTAATAAGGAAAAACAACTTTAAACTCAGGTACCAAACCCAAAATTTGGAAACTGATCTTCGAAATTTTTCTTTCATGGCCACACACACACATACACACACAAAAAAGGATATAAAAATGATAATCACATAACTGTATGGAGTAGAAAACATATACAAGAGAAAATCACTGAAACCCAAAGGTAGTTTGATAAAATGTATAAAATTCATGAATCTTTAGGAAAACTAGCCAGGAGAAATAGATCACTATATCACAAGTTCTGCAAACATGAAAGCAACACAAAGAATATTGTGTATCTATGCCGACATATTGGAGATTTTAGATGAATTACATAGAAAAATACAGAGCATCAAAACTGACATCACACAGGGCACTTACAAAAAAACACAGCTAATATCATACTAAAGAACATACTTAGTGAAAGACAGATCAGGAACACAGCCAGTATATATGGTTTACTACTGTTATTTAACATTATACTAGAAGTCCTAGCCAAAGAAGTTAAGCAAGAAAAAGAAATAGAAGGCGCCCAAGTGGAAAGAAATACAGTGTTTTATTTGCAGATGACATGTTTCTGTGTGTAGAAAATCTTAGGTAAGGAGGGGTTTTGTTGTTGTTTAAGCCCATGGAAAATTCAGTGTAGAATTTATGCTCATTATGTGCAAGGCCCTGAGTTTAATCTCTTGCACCAGAATACAAACAAATAAATAAAAGAAAAATTTACAAAATTCTCAAAAGCAAAAAAAACCTACCAGAGCTAAGAAATTCAGCACACTTTTAGAATACAAGACCAACACACATGGGCCATCTGTGGTGATACACATCTATAATCCCAGCACTAGGGAGGCTGAGGCAAGAGGATTACTGTGAATCAAAGGCCAGCCTAGGCTATATAAGTGGGTTTAAGACCAGCCTGTACTACACAGTGAGATCGTGTCTCAAACAGAAACAAATAAACAAAAAACACAAAAATCAGTTGAATCTGTATACCAACAATGAACAATCTGGAAAGGACATAAATAAGTCCATTTACAGTAGCATCCAAAACAATAAAGTTCTTAATAAAGCTAACCATGGGGTGAAAGGCTTACATCCAGAAAACAAAACATAGCTAAGAGAAATTAAAGACTACTGTAAATTGAAAGATGTCCCATGTTCAGGGATTGAAAGACAATGTTGAGATGGTAGTATTCCTCAAGGCAATCTACAGGTTAATAAAATTCTTATCAAATTCCAATTATCTTTTTTTTTCCAAAAGTAGAAAAACCAACTTAGATTTGTTTGGCACTGTAAGAAGGTCCAAATAACCAAAACAATACTGAAAAAAAAGAAATGGGATTCATATGTCCTAATTTCAGAGCTACACTATAAAGTGATACTGATCAAAACATTGTGGTGCTGACAAAGTGATAGAAATGTAAACCAAAGGATCTCAATAGAAAGTCCAGAAATAAACCCAAACATTTATGGCCAATTGATACTCAACAGAGATACCAAAATTATTGAGTAGGAAAATAATTGATTCAACCAATAGTACCAGAACAACCAGATGTTCACATAAAAAAATATAATTGACCTTCTCATAATAATACAAAAATTAACTCATAACAGATCAATGGCCTAAACATTAAGAGTCAGAAGTATGAAACTCTTTAAGTAGAAGTAAGGGCACATGCCTTTAGTCTCAGTAGTTAGGAAGATGGAGCAGAATGACCAGTTGAGTCCAGGAGTTCAAGGCCAGCCTTAGCAACATAGACATCATCATTTTTAAAAGTTAAAAATATTGGGGCTGGGGAGATAGCTTGGTGGTATAAGTGCCTGTCTGGCAAGCACAAGGTTCCAAATTCAATCCCTGGTACCTTATGCCATGCCAGTCCCAGAACCCCAGATGCAGTTCTGGCCGTGGAACTGGTCATGGTGGCACACATCTGTAATCTCAGTGCTGGGGAGG